CAGGCTCCTTGGTTGGATTCACATCAGGCTCCTTGGTTGGATTCACCTCAGGGTCCTTGGTTGTATTCACATCAGGCTCCTTGGTTGGGTTCACATCAGGCTCCTTGGTTGGGTTCACATCAGGCTCCTTGGTTGGATCCACATCAGGCTTCTTGGTTGGATTCACATCAGGTTCCTTGGTTGGTTTCACAGTAGGCTCCTTGGTTGGATTCACATCAGGCTCCTTGGTTGGATTCACATGAGTCTCCTTGGCTGGATTCACATCAGGTTCCTAGGTTGGATTCACAACAGGCTCCTTGGTTGGATTCACATAAGGCTCCTTGGTTGGATTCACATCAGGCTCCTTGGTTGGATTCACATCAGGTTCCTTGGTTGGGTTCAAATAAGTCTCAATGGTTGGATTCACATCAGGTTCCTTGGTTGGATTCACATCAGTCTCCTTGGTTGGATTCACATCAGGTTCCTTGGTTTGGTTCACATCAGGCTCCTTGGTTGGATTCACAACAGGCTCCTTGGTTGGGTTCACATCAGGTTCCTTGGTTGGATTCACAACAGGTTCCTTGGTTGGATTCACATCAGTCTCCTAGGTTGGGTTCACATCAGGTTCCTTGGTTGGATTCACATCAGGTTCCTTGGTTGGATTCACATCAGTCTCCTAGGTTGGGTTCACATCAGTCTCCTTGGTTGGATTCACATCAGATTCATTGGTTTGATTCACATTAGGCTCCTTGGTTGGATTCACATCAGGCTCCTTGATTGGGTTCTTATCAGGTTCCTTGGTTGGATTCACAACAAGTTACTTGGTTGGATGCACATCAGGCTCATTGGTTGGATTCACATCAGATTCCTTGGTTGGATTCACATCAGGCTCACTTGGTTGGATTCACATCAGTCTCCTTGGTTGGATTCATATCAGGTTCCTTGGTTTGGTTCACATCAGGCTCCTTGGTTGAATTCACAACAGGCTCCTTGGTTGGATTCACATCAGGTTCCTTGGTTGGATTTACATTAGGCTCCTAGGTCGGATTCACATCAGGCTCCTAGGTTGGCTT